CGGCTCCCCGGACACCGGTCACGCGCCCCCCGCCCCCCGGGCCGATGCCGCCTGTACCGGGGATGCTGTACAGCTGCCGGCGAGACTCGTGCTGCGCCCGGCTGTTGGAGCTGCTGCAGCGCTTGCCCGTCATGCCCATCAGACTGCTGGCCACGGACAGCTGGGAAGCCTGGGCGAAGTTGGAGAGTACTCCCTGGGCGGAACCGGACAGGCCCCTCTGGAGGGAGGTCGGTGGCTGGGAAGCCTGGGGCTGAGACACCTGGAGGACAGAAGAGGGACGTCCCCCTGGACCGGTGAGAGACTGGACAGCATCACTGCAGACAAATGAGGGAATGACGAGATGGAGGGCTGGCCGGGGCTTGAGCCACAGCCGTCTGGCTGACCTGTCTGAGCGCGTGGTGTCGGATCATGGAGTCCGCCTTGCTGATGCTGGGCACGGTCTGGGCAGAGCTGGGGGACAGGGCAGCTTGCTGCTGGAGCCGCTGCTCGATCTCCTGTCATACACACACACGCCACAGGGGGGCAGTCGTGACCGGACTGGACGGCATCCCAGCATCAAGTAGCCAGAGTATATTTTCAGGAACAATCCATTTCACCCCTCCCCCCCCCCCCCCCCCCCGCAAAAAAAAAAAAAAAAAATTACAAGATGCATCTGCTAAATATTTACTCATTTCAACGATTTCTTCCAAACAGGGGCGTAGATAAAAAATTCAAGACTCCCTGACAAAATTTCTCCTTGCTTCCTCCCAACCAATTTTACACATAATTTTACATATTGAGGAGCCCCTGTACAGTGTTGGGCCCCCTGAATCTGCCAGGGTATCCATGCCCCTGCTGTGCCCCCGTTTCCCAACGACATGCCCACCTGCTCCTGCTGGAGGGCTTTGACGAACGCGTTCTTCAGCCGGTTAGTGTGCTCTGCCTTGAGCGCTTTCTTCTGATTGGTTGTCATGCAGAGCTCGCACAGGATGCGCCCGCCCTTCTCCTGCTTCCAGTGCGGGGTGAAGTCAGTCTTGCACTGGGCGCACATGAAGGGCTCTGTGCGTGAGGGTGCTGCCCGCATTTTACCTGCAGTGGCACAAAAAAAAAAAAACAATTACAGTCCAGAAGAGGGCGCCAGAGAGGACCTGGAGAAAATGGTCTAAATCGGGCATTATTGTTTTCTTTTGTTATTTTTTGGAGGTCACAAGCTTTTTTCTTTAGTCTAAATAGTTACTCACGGCATTAAACGATGACAATACCCCACCGAGAAAGCCGATGCAAATCCTAAACAAACGCAGCAAGCTTTAGTCCCATCTGGAGCTCCCAGCTGCCACGGCCCCCTCCCTGCAGCTCACCCTGGCTGTCAATGACGCTCTGCACCACCTCTTCCAGGCCCACCATATAGATGAACTCGCTGTTGGCGGCAGAAGGCAGGAAGTGTAGCAGTGGGGCCGGCGGCTTGGGAGGCGGGATCTCCAGCAGGGTCTTCTCCAGTTGCTTGCGCAGGGCTAGCTTGGCAGCTGCCTGGCTGCTAGCCGAGTCCGACAGAGAGCCCACTCCCGGGCTGGGCAGGGCGGAGGGGCTGACTGCGCCCACCCCCGCTCCGGCGGCCTGCATGTGAGCCAGGTTCATGTAGATGGCGGAGGAACCCGAGCGCTGGGAGGTCGACACCTGCTGGCTGGTGGCCTGCAAACACAAAGACGGACCGGGAGTCCGTTAAAGGGGTCAAGGACACTCATGCAAGAGGCGGCTAGACTGTCAGACTTGCCAGAACAAGAATCAATGCAAGGAAACCCCACCAGAGGGAGAAATGGTTAAGGAGCCAACAGGAATTTTTAAGGAGAAGTTCACACTTCATACCATCTAGACATTATACAGTGATATGCAGTATTTGGATCCTCCACAAATAATTTCACCAAAGCAGAAACACTACAATATACCTGAAAATACAGAGGTATAGTGGATTATCGTGATACCCCAATTACCTTCACACTGCATCAACAAAGAGCATCCACAATGTAATATAATGCCGTCTTATACTGCTCACAGGCGTAACTAAAGCCAGTCGAGCCCCGATACTCAAAACCAGCTGAATTCCTGCTGGTATCAGCTAATTAACCACAGTGCAGGAGGTGCTGTACCTGCTGGTAGCCGATGGCCCCGGCGACACCTCCTGCGGAGGAGCGCATCACGCCGGGCTTGGAGGGCACCCTCTGACCCTGCAGCTGCGCGGGGTTGGGCGCGATGACGCGGGGCGACATCATCACCTGGGGCATGGAGGTGCTGCCGGCCGATCGGATCACAGTGTGACCCTGCGATGGTAAAGGTGGGACACAGACGATTAAAATTAAACAACCTCATACAAATTAAACTGACACTGTGGGGAAAAAAAAGCAGAAACAATGGAAAGAAGCAGAGTAATGAGATCAAAAGAAAAAAAAAAAACAGGAAAATGCATTTTTACAAGAAAAACAAGTATCTGGAACAAGCACTAGGTGGCAGCACTGACACTGGTAACAAGCTCTAGGTGGCAGCACTGACACCAGTAACACAAAAGTCAACAAGCTGCCAAAAGGCACCCTGTGGGGGTGGGTTTGGGGGAGAAAAAAAAACACTGATTCATCTCGGATGAATAGCAGCCAAGAATAAGGAGAGACACTGCGAGCCCTTCTGTGCACAGGGAGGTCATACTGTCGAGCACATTTCCCGCTTTGTCATCCTAACGATGACCCCCCCCCCCCGACCAGTAACTAAACTGCCCCCTACCCCATGAAGGACTATGTACAAGTAATAATGAAATGACGCTTTAATTTCCATTTGCACACATATACACAGTTGCCATTGCACACAGTTTGGGATGAAGTTTGGGCTCCAAGTGCAGGATCAGCCATTTATCTGGCAAAACTATTCCCTCCAAGGATGGGACTTGAACCAGCAACCTTCCAATCACAGACACAATGGCCAAGGGCAGGGGTCTAGATCCTGATCTCACCTGAGCTGTTCGCAGGTTCTGAGTCTCTGGGCCGTGGTGGCCGGGACGAGATGGCAATTTGGTGGCCCCCTGGGAGCCGTGGATGGCAGACGTCTGCACGGAGGAGGGGGCATTCTGGACCACAGGCACCTGGTATGGACACAGAGACGTGACCACCAAATGAAGGGGGGTTCTGGGGACACCCTTCATCCTGAGTTTAAGGTTTCTTCCATCTCACTAATAAAAACCACTGTGCTTCAATGTTTCAGCATCCAGGAGAGAGCAACTTCCCTGTGTATGCAGCACTCATAGTGAAGAGCGATGCAAATGCGCGCGTCCACACACAGACAGACAGACACACACGCACACACACGCACACACACGCACACACACACACAGACACACACAGACACACACAGACACACACAGACACACACACACAAACAAACAAACGTGTAGTCATATCTTTTTGGGGACCGCTCATTCATTTCTATGGGAAAAATGCTAACGCTAACTATGACAACCGTAACCCCTACCCAGCCCTAACCATAACCATAAGTAACCAAGCTAAATACAAGAATTTTGGCATTTTGAGTTTTTTCATTGCAGTCACGGATTTTTATAAAATAGAGTTTTCCCATATGGGGACAAGGAAACTGGTCCCCATATGGTTAAAACAAAAAAACTAAAAAAAATAAAAAATTTGGTCCCCACAATGTAAGGTATACCTGGACCACACACACACACACACACACTCATATTAATGGCATCCTAATAAAGGATGATAAAAGTGATGAGGAACTAAAGTTCTAGCCCTACTTGAAGAAAAACAGCGATATACCTAATATACAAATTACAGCTTTTGTTTCAGGATATCTGCACGTCCCCCCTACACACACACATGAACAGCATCCGCAGGGCCTGAGGACGCCTCACGTTCCCCCTACACACACATGAACAGCATCCGCAGGGCCTGAGGACGCCTCACGTTCCCCCTACACACACAGGAACAGCATCCGCAGGGCCTGAGGACGCCTCACGTTCCCCCTACACACACAGGAACAGCATCCACAGGGCCTGAGGACACCTCGCAACCTCTGACCTTTTGCACTAGGTTCTCCTTTTGCATCTGGCTCTGCCGCAGCTTCTTCAGTAGGACCAGCCGGGCCTCCTCCAGACGCAGCTCCTCCTTGAGGGCCTTGATCATCTGCTGACGTTCCTCGCCGCTCTTGCCCTGGGGTGCGGGGGAAGGGGGAGCTTACTCTTTGAGGATAAAATGCAGAGTGAGCTTCGCATACCTCCTGGGGTCGCGTCAGGGCCCTGGGGCGGGGCCAAGTGCGCAGTCGCCTCCCCGCCTGCCGGCTACCTTGAACATCTCCACGTTGGCGGCCCGGAGCCTGTCTTCAGAGCGGGAGGAGGCCCGGGGGCTGGAGGCCTCATTGTCAGACAGGACGATGACATCTGGAGACGGCGTGTGGCGCTCCCGGTCCGGCTCGCTGAGGGGAGAGACACACATACAAAAAGGGACGTCGTATGAAGACAAAATTCCACTTGCATACAAATTTATCTATCAGTCAAACAATCCTCAGCAAGCCCCGCCCTCCAGTCCTGGGGCCCCACCTCCCTCACCTGCGCCTGGCGCTCATGTCCACCGGCTCGTCCCCCATGTTCTCCTTGCCGCTGCGGCCCAGGCTCCCATGGGCCGACACGCCTCCTCGTAGGGTCCCGTTCACCTTTTCCTCGTAGGCCGCCGAGCCAGAGCCAGGCCCGCACCGGGGGTCCCCCTCCAGGCCGGCCAGGTCCTTCCTCTTCAGCAGAGCCAGCATTTTCAGCCTCTCCATGGCCTCGTGGCCCTCCATCTTGAGACGCTTGGCCAGGGCCTCCTCACTGCCCTCTGGTGTGTCCAGGCCACGCTTCAGAAGGTTCAGCCTCAGCGCCTCCTCGCTCAGCCTGTCCATCCTGGGCCCAGAGAGAAGGGGGCGGGGTTTGTGAGCGCAACAAACCTGACACCGGGTGTCTCGCACGGCCCCGTGACTGACGGCTACGTTTCATCTAAGTCACTTCTTGCCAATAAACCTGCGCTTCTTTTAAATATGCAGGAGTTATATTCCGTATAAACAGTGACAAAAATAGGACATTAAACTCCCAGCCATGGAAGGATGCAACAAATAAGAAGTCTTGATACGTATCTGGCGAGTGAACAAGCCCTCCGTCCAACATCCCTACAACCAGAAACATTTCCAGAGTCAGGACAGGAGGTCACTACTAGCAAAGGGGACGTGTTTATATTGTCCAAGTCAGCTGTCTACCCCAAAGTGATTAATCGCAAACCAATAAAGTAGATGTTTACACAACCCACATCTGCACCAGCGGGCCCCAACAGGCGCTTCATGTAACCATCAAAAACCCTTTGGCGCGTAGAGAGTTTAGCTACGTTATAGCTTCCAAACCAGATACAAAAGGCCATAGTGAACTGAATGGAAATAAGGGAGCCCAAGATTGGTAGGGAATGCATGGTACAGTATGCAGTGCTGGAACAGACACCAACTACACCTGTGTTTGAAAGCAGTTCAATCTCCTGGGTTCAAAGAGGGTTTATCAACCTCCTTGCCACTGAGCTTGTCTTCTGCATCCTTAGGTCAGTAAGAGGTGGTGAGGGAAGGGTGACATTACATCACAGCTGGGGGGCAGGTATAACGGCACTATCGACAAGCCAGCGCCCTGCACCACTACTGCCAGCTTGCTCCAGTTACCAATGGGAAACACCGCACAAAGGAGTCAGCTGCGATTTGAAAGCGAAAAGCAGAGGGGGAAAAAAAGAGGTAGGGGAAGGGAGCAGGGAGGCGGCCTGGCAGGGCCATCGCCCTCTCGATGCGCTCGGGGTCCTTTCACGTCCGGGTGCATTCCTGCACTCGGCAGGGCAAGAGCTGCACTTTGTCTTTGTTTGCTGTCAGGCGGCTTCTCCCCCCCCCCCAGCATATGTGACTCATTGGTTTCCGTCTTGCCCATGGTCACACCCAACACTATGCTTCAATTAGACGGCATTTTCTTCCCCCCACTAATAAGCACTCAAGAAATAACCCTGAACAGCAGAAGGGAATAAATAAATAAATAAATCACAGAGAGGGAGCGAAGGGCCGATACACACATGCAGGATGGGGCTTGCATATTATCAGATTAAACAATATAATTCGAAGGACCACTCTTGTAGAAATCGTAATGTAAAAAAATCCAACAAAATCTAACCAACATCCTAGGTGGTTTCCAGACAAAGGTCAAATGGGGAAAATTAAATTCTAGGTTTTCCCCTTTCCTGAAGTGTCAAAAAGCTCCGGAACATTAGGGTCTACCCAATTCCAAAAATCAGTGCAGCTAAGTTCACACTAAATCATCAAAGCATGCACTTCCGTCAAGCATACCTTTTGAATGACGTTGTCACATTAAACCTCAATAAATGCGGGATCACCCTGCTTGGTAACACAAAGCATAATGGCGATCTGCCTCGCAGCACATTTTTGCCCAGCCGGGTCAGGAGTGCTTCACGGGATCCCGGAAAGCCGGCAGAAACAGACGGACCTGCTGACGAAACCGTACGTGACCCTTGGATTTGGCTCATTTGCCCCGATAAGGAGCCGAAAGCTCGCCGCGGCGTGGCGGACTGGAACGTGAGCGGATGCCACGTGTTTCCGGATTCGACTCCAATCCCAGAATCGATGCAATCCATGTTTGGAGTCGATCAGAGGGGACCAGGGCTCAGACTTTATCCTGTGTCATTTCTTCGTAATTCTGACTGCTTGATATCAGAGCTCCTCTCCTGAAACTTCTCCTTTCAAGGTAATTCCTCTACTCTCTCAGCCTAGCTGTGCTCTTGGTAGCTTTTGGGGGCGGGGGGCGGTGCGCGGCTCAGCAGGTTAGGACACTGTGCCACTGACCAGAAACTTACCGATTCATATCTCAGGGTCGGTAGAGTGATTTTGCCCCTGAACAAAGCCCTTAACCCTCAATTGCTCCAGGGAGTTTGCTAAATGAACAAAACGTAATACAGAGAAAAAGCAGTAGTGTGCTGAACCTTCAGAAATCTGAGCGTCATAATAATAGCATTCTACACACTCATGTATATGGATTTGCTAGAATGCATGACTGTCACGATAACTTAGAAGCTAGATAATGCATAAGCAGACACATGCAGAGAGGACAGGACCCGCTCCCAGCCCAGAGTCAGCGTGGACCTTCACGGGTCCATGCCCACCGCACCAGCATGATTGACCTCTGCGCCATCGCAGCCTCACACCTTCCAAGGCATGCTGAGTTCAGCCATCCATGGGCATCTGGGTGTCACCAGACCTATGTTACTCTCTGGGCTGGAAACCACCACCCACGCTTCAGCAATACTTGTTTGCCTGCAGTTTGGTTCTGTCCCCCATCTTTTTCACGAAATGATGCATTACTAGCCATTTGTGTACAAGTACATTGAAATGCTTCTTTCCGTATAGCCCATCTTGCTTTCCTTTGAGCCATACAGACACATGTGTCTCATGCACCAAAACATTATGATCACTCCCATGTTAAGTGAATAAGGTTGAGCATCTCATAAAAATTGGTGCGTGTCGGGTATATATTACGTGGAAAGCTAACATTTGGTACTTCTAGTCGACATGTGGAATACAGAAGATGTAGGCAGGGATGAAGATCCGAGTGACTTTGATATGGGCCAAATCATTTTGGCCAGACAACTAGGTCAGAGCATCTTCAAAACGGCAAGGCCTGTGGGGTGCTCATGGTGAGCCGTGGTGACTCCTGAGTGGTCCAACGACGAAAAAACCAAACAGGGTGTTGGGCAGCAAAGACTTGTTAACGCAGGATATGAATGAGGGCTATCCCGTATGGTATGAACCAACAGAAGGGCACAAATGGCAGATAATTTTGATGATTGTCATCGGAGTAATGCGTCATGACTCACCGTACATTGAGTGCTGCAGTGTACAGGACTGCGTAGTCGCAGGCCAGTCAGAGTGCCCAGGCTAACCCCAGTTCCTCATGGAAAGTGTCTACAATGGGCACACAAGCACGGGCACGAACAACAAAAGGAGGTCACCAAATCCGATGAATCCTGGTTACTGTTGCATCATGTAGACAGTAAGGTATGTGTCAAGCATCTGTGGGATGCATTGGGCCAACAAGTCCGATTCACGGCTACGTAGCACTATGAACAGCAAGGCTTGATGCACTGGATTGTTATGACAAATTACTCCAGTGATCATCACCAAAATTATCTGCCATTTGTGCCGCAATAGCCCTTCTGTTGGTCTGTACCAGACGGGATAGCGTTTGTTCATATCTCACATCTACAAGTGTTGGACACCCAACACCCTCTCGGCGGATAATTGTTTTTCCCTCCTTGAACCACTCTCAGTAGGTAATCACTACGGTTGACCGTGAGATATCCACAAGCCTTGCTGTGTCAGAGATGGTCTGTGCTAGTCATATGGCCATGACAATCAGGGCCTTTTCAAGGTCATTCAGGCCTTTATCCCTGCCCATTTCTTCCGGATTCAGCACGTAACAACAAGTACCATTGGCTTACCCTCCAATACATTCCAGATCCACGTGGGGGTGCCCATAATGCTCGGGCTCATCAGTATATCTATGCCTGAGAGTGAAGCTCGTACTCTGAGCTCAAGATCAGCCATTTACCCAGTGACCTTGGAACCCCATGCCTTCGCTCAAGGGCCCAATGGACATGTGACTGTTCTACTGATGACAGGGTTCAAACTGGCAACCTTCTGATCACAACCACAGAGGCTTAACACACGGAGCACCCTCGCTATTTTTTTTCCATGTCCTAGCATACAAGTCAAAAAGAGACGCCTGAAGCACCAAGCTCTTACACATGCTGGATCGTTCCTCCTCCTCCACAAAATATGAGCATCTTAAGATTACACACAGGTCTGGCTTTCAGCCACCACCAGCTAACTCCAAGAAGGACATTTTAATAGTCATGCTGGAAATTGGGAGGGGGTAGCAGGGTGGCTTAGAGAGCAGCTTCCCACGTCCAGGGACTGAGTTCCATTCTTGCCCTCGGCTTATGTGCGAGTCCGTGGGTCCTCCTCATGTTCACATGGATCTCCCCCAGGTATTCCATTCCATTTCCTTCCTGTTGCCTATAAGCATGTCTCTAAAATGCCCACCGGGCATGCGTGTCCCGTTTTAGACCGTCATCCCACCCAGGGTGCTCCCCTGCCTTGTGCCCTGCATGTTTAGGAGTTCCAAACGTACTACACAAATCAAACTTCACATTTCCCAAAGATATTTGTGCGTTGAAAGACTAAATCAATGAAGACGTGGCCACAGAAACACATCACTGAATATCAAAGAGCCATCATATACTATCTGCAGATGCATCCATAGATACATCTTCTAAACACTTATCTAGCTTGGTGGAGAAGGGGGGGGGGGCAGGAGCATCTTCCAAGAGGCAGTGTACAACGCTGGGGTGCATGCTGGACAGGATGCCAGTCCATTACAGGGCAAAATCTCTCTCACACACACAATGGCCACTGATGGTTGCAAGCGGAAACTGAAAAATGCAGGGTACCCAATGAAATCCACGCAACATTGTGAGGACTCGGCACACATGGAGCTGGGGTGAGATTTGAAAGTGGTGCAACGATGTAGGCAGGTTGGCCAACATGATAACTAATATATTTTTCTCTAATTTTAGGCACACCATCAAAGACCTAAGCTCTCAGCTCCACAAATCTGTAGTGAATCTGATGTCAATGACAATACTTCTTAAGAGTATTTAAGAATGTTTGTAGAAACCACATCATTTACTGCAGACTGAGATATCAGCGAAGTAGTACCAACTTGGGATACTGTAGTAAGACTGTAAGTGAGTAAGCTATAAAGTCCCTCATCCCAGTATAGAAAATGGTTGATTGTCCAATGAGATCAGCTCC